GTGTGTGTGTGTGTGTGTGTGTGTATTCTTTTTAAATTTCCCAGAGTTCAAGATGCTTTTGTTTAGCATATATAAATACAGGGTAACTTAAAAACATTGCTTAATCTCAGACATTCCCAAGAGTTCAGCTAATTATTTGAAATATAATATTTGTGCATCTTTCATGAGGCAGGCTACTGTGAAATGGTAAGATTTCCAGTTCCACACCAGAGTAAAACCGTAGAGCCTACTCTATGGTTTGTGCTCTGATTGCTTGCCACATAAGTGTCGGTCTTTTCCAAAGCGATACATTTATTATATAACTGTTTCTATTCTATTAACACTTGCCACTGTTCCCTCCTTCACCGCAGCTCCATTCTATTTGCTGCTAAAGTTGTCTTATTCGTGGTTCATTTCTAATGTTACTACATTATTATTCTTTAGAAAAACAACGGAGCCATTCTTAAAGAAATGACTAAAAACCATAAAGCTCCCCTATTTCTGGTTGCTCCTGCATGTCTTTGAAGCAGATAATATAAACAGGTCTAGACACATACATCATTCTAAACCTAAAACCAACTTTGCATCTTTCACTTAAGACTTTCCTTCCTTTTGCTGATTCTTTCAGGCTGATTGATGTCCTGAGGCCCAATGGTGTTTTCCAATGAATGAGGCAAAACTAGTGTTTACCAGCTATATAGAACGTTCCATCTCTTCTGAAAATAACAGTGTGTTAGCTATGATCCCTGTCCCAAAAAGAGAGAAACAACTTTACTTAAGTGAATGTGTATCTGAGTCCTTGAATGGCACACAAATATGACTCCAGGTTTTCATTTTAACATGCGATCAGACTGAAATAAATGTGAAAGACTTTGGCTCAAGTAGGCGGCCCAGTGCCAAGAGTAAGGAAGAGGAGGTTTGAACGTGCACAATGTGCTCCAGAAAACGAAGCCCTTGTTCCAGAAGACATTTCTGCTACCACCATTTTATCACTAGGGTCATATTTCTTACCGCCCTCCTCTCAAACTATTTATCTGCATGAAAAATAACACTTTTACAAGAGTTTTCTGTATGTTTGAAGTTCCCTGAAATGAAACGTTCCCAAAGGCATACGATCTAACGTCCTTCTCCCCCTCCCCTTTGGTTTTGTGCTTCCACAGTTCTTCAGGGCTACTCAATTCTATACCACTGGGCACAGAACTGCCCGGGGATGATTTCCAAGTCTATTTCTCACTAATCCTTGCAAAAGTAAAATATTATGAGGAAAGGTTATACTTTGTTTAGAAATTGTCTAAATGGCTTTTATTGTTTTATGACTATCAAGGATATGTATTTCTGGTATAATCTGAGAAAGTGAAGGAAGGATGAACAGGGAGGTGCCTGGCTCAGTCAGAAAAGCAT